CATGATATTTTAAGAAATTTTAAGATTATCAGAGAGCAAAAAGGGATAAAACAAAAAAAAAACCATGGGTTGGGGGAAATGATTGACACATGACCAATTTTGTAAATGATTTATACTATCTTTAAAAAATGAAATAATAGTAAAATGCAATGCTAATTTATTATATACTTTAAATAAGTTTATGTAAGAATTATACTAACGTGAAAGTGAAACTAATGTAAGAATTAAACTATTATTTACACAGATTGACGAAACATTGGATTGTTAATTTTTTTAATAAATTTATAGAAGAAATTTTATTAAGAAATTGTCTTAGAGTCCTTTGAATTGAGAAAAGAGAATCAAAAAAAAAAATCGAAATATAAATTCTATTTATGAATTTATTGTTCGCTCTGACGTTAATTCTTCCGGAATTTCAGCCCCTCCTTCCGTCTTATCCAATTTTTGTTTTTTTTTATTATTGTCTATTACTGATTCTTCCACTTCCTCCACTTTACGTTTTCCATTATTATCACACTTCACCACCGTCTCCATAATTTGTCCATCTTCTATCTCATCACTCTCTTTATTTTCAGATTTCACTGCTGATTTGGTTTTTTCTGTTTTATGCGTCGCAAGTGGATCCTCTATATTTTCGAAAATCTTTTTGAGATCGCTCGCTTTTTGTATAGAAATTTTTCCTCCGTTTGATCTTGATGACTTAAACTTAGGCTCCTGTCTTGTTATTATTTTTGCCCCGTCTAGGGGATTATTCGGATTCTATAAAAAATTTATATATTGTTAACAATCGAGAATGATAAATATATATACACACATATATGTGTGTGTGAAACTTACATTTGATCTTACAAGTAATGGTTTAGTAAATGGGTAACAAGTTAAGACTCGGTCTATGGCATCTACATATATAGAACAATGTAAATTATTTAAATATATAAAAAATAAAAAAAAATAAAAAATATAAAAAGCAATATTTAAAAAAAAACAACTAAAATAAATTAA